AAAAAAAAAAAAAAAAAAGGCAGCCCAGCTCTGCTCCCGGGCCCTCAGCGGCGAGGAGAAGTTTTTGGTACTCACTGTCGCAAGCGTAGGGTTTATCCCGATCTTCTAATATCGCCGCATCCAGTTTCTTCCGAGCCCCTCCAACGCCTTTGCCCTGGAATAAAAGAAAAAAGGGGGGGGAAAAGCCAAAATTTAGGCAAAATTTGGGCCCAGAAGGCTGCTGAGTGGCAGGGAGGAGAACACCGGCAATCCGACAGTGCCACGTAGTGGGAACAGCGCGGAATGGCTGCTGGACGCTCGTCCCGCCGCCGATTTCCCCGGTTTGAGGTTTGACACGGACGCGGTGTTTCAGCGCCGGCAGAGGCTCAGATTTTCCGGGAATCGCGACCGGAAGAACGGCGGGAGCCTCGTCACTGCCCTCACCTTGGCTTTCCCCTTCCCTCGCCGCTTCGGCGTGTCTTCTTCGTAATCTTCGTCATCCAAATCGTCCAGGAAATCATCCGGCTCCAGAATCCGCTGGGAAAGAGGAAGAGGGGTTACTGCAGGGAAATCCTCGGTACGGAGCGAGGGGAAAGGGGGAAAAATTGGGGAGAAACTCCCTTCCCCTGAATTTTGGGGCCAAAAGCTCCCTTCCCCTGAATTTTAGAGACAATAACTCCGTTCTCCTGAATTTCTGAGCCAGAAACTCCTGAATTTTGGGGCCACAAACTCCCTTCCCCTGAATTTTGGGGCCACAAACTCCTGAATTTTGGGGCCACCAACTCCCTTTCCTCCGCTAAAAGACGCGGAGAAAGCAGAGGGGAAGAGAGGCAGGAGGAAAATCAGAGCGGTGCCGTGGAAACGTCGGTGGTTTTTTGCACAAGCAGGGAAAGGAGGAGCCCCTCTCCCGGTCGTACCTTCCGCGCCCGGCTGTTGGTGACGGGGAATTCGCCCAGGCTGTCGTCGTCCAGGCGGGGATCCGGCAGCGCCCGTTTTTCCAAGGGGTCGGTCCTCAGCAGGGCTTCCAGGCTGCTGCCGTCCTGCGAGATCAGCCCTTCCTTCTTCAGGGGCTGGTCCGCGTCTGCAGGAGCCAGCGGCGGGGAGAAAAGGAGAAAAAAAATCCGTGTGGAACGTCGGCACGCGCCAAGATCCCGTTTTACCATCATCCGGTGAGGTTTGGACGCGATATTTCAAAACTCCCAACCCCGTCGCGCATGAAAAAATCAGCGGCGAGAAGGATTTACCGGGTTTGATGGAAGGGAAGGAAAGCCTCGGGTCCTCCGGAGGATGAGCGCGGCGTTTCTTCCTCCAGCGGCGCGCGGGGTAGGAGTAAAGCTGCCCGGCGGCTAAACCTAATTAAAAAAACCCCAAACAAACCCAAAAAAAATTATCCGAGGCGACCGTAACCCTCCCCTGGTCCCCGTCGCGGCGTTTTCCCCGCCGTACCCGGCCCTCGGTGCCGCTTCTCCATCCAGATGTAGCAGTTGCTCTGGGCCACGCCGGTTTGGGAGTCGAGGAAAGGGAGGCGGACGCTCCTCTCAGCGCACAGCCGGGCGTTGTAGTTGTGGCACTGCTCCATGGCGTCCCTGTAGTACTGCTCCCCAAGGCTGCCAGGTGGAAAAAATTAAAAAAAAAAAATAATTCAGCACTTTCAGCGCTCATCCCGACCACCCCAATCCCGATCCCAGCCCTGATCGGCGCCGAGAAGGAAACGTCACGCTCCTTCCTGGCTGCAACCCAGCCCGAAATATTTCCTCCGTGACGCAGAGACGCGACTCGATGCGATTTTCGGGGAGGACGGAGCTGTCCCCCGGCTCAGAAAAATCACCAAGACGCAGCGACTGCCCCCGACTGCAGGCTCCTGGCCGCTAGCAGACGAACCGCGGCGGC